GCTAATCTCACTTCTGGGGGGAGAAGATTCCACAAGGCAGGCGCCACAGCAGAGAAGGCCCACCTCCTGGGAACCGCCAAATGTAATTCTCTAGCAGACAGGATCCATAGTATGCCTCCTCTGCCAGATCTGATGGGACGGGCAGATGTAATCGGGGAGATTACTTTATGCAAAATAAGGACATTTCCATAACGTCCTTCCCACTGTCAGTTTTTCCCTTATGTACACATCATGTCCTTACACACGCACGCACACACATTTGTTTCAACAAAATTTTAGAAGTTCCTACTTTGTACTCTCTTGCAATTACAAGAAATAAACAGAGCAATGTTTAAAAGGTTTTTTTTATTACAACAGACATATTTACTTGTCTTCTGGCTTATTGAAGCAGTATGTCAAGCAGCACTTGCCACAATAATGTCTATCAAAGTGGCTAGCCATGAACACTCCAGCCCCACATTCTTCAGAGGGACACTCACGACGTAGGCGGCTGATTTTGCCATTCTCATCCACCTGCAAGAGGAAATGTTCAATAAATAGTGCAGCACTACATCTGCCTTAAAAACAGACTTATCTATAAAGTTGTAATAATTAGAACATATAATTTTTTGGAGCACCTGAATTTAGAGAGATTCAGAACTCTGCAACACAGAAAAGACTTGAATAGAACTATCCATTCTTGAGTTAAGATGAGAGTAAAAGTAGAGGCCAAGAGTGCCTGCTAGCTTTTTTGGAACCCTCAGTAATTGCAGCTAATGCAGCAACCTTTCCCCAGCTGGTCAGACTTTGTAAAGACTTAAGAGTTATCTATGCCTTGATTACAAGCTATCTCAACTAATGCAATGTACTTTTCATGCAACTACCCTTGAACAGTGTATAGAAACTGCAAATGGTGTAAAATGTAGTGCCCAGGCTTCTGACTGGTACAAAATACAAGCTCACAAATGTTCATACCAGCATCAGCTACAGTTGAACAGGTTAGCGCTTTGGGGCCTGTAGCTGTGGGACTGCCTCTCCTGCTATGAACCTGGCACTATGAACTACCAGAAGCTTGATTTTGGGCTATGTAGAAAGAAGTTTCACTTATATTGGCTCCCAGGTTAGGAAGACAGCAAAAAAAGTATCTCGTATTAAGTATGTTTTCCCTTATCCTTTGCATTTTATATTGCTGTAAATCACGTACAGTTTTGGAATAAAGTTGTAGGATAAATTATTAATAACTAATATAAACTTAAACATTTTAACTAGCACTATTCATTAGTAACTTGGTAGTAGCTGCCTAGAGTTCTAGGTCTGAATACACAAAACAGGTTGCATTTGTCACCTGAGGGAGACTGGTTTTCTAGTAAAACAGAGAAACAACCAGCAATAATTTATATCGAATTATATTATTCATATTGAATAATACAATATTCAATATATATTATACAGTATATGTTAAACATGTAAAATTATAAAAT